AGCAGATTACAGCCATTCTCCCCTTTCTTCCTCAAAGCTGTCATCCTGTGGCAGACTCAGCGAAGTCGCTCGCTGACTGCCATCTGCTCGTCTCGGATGCTAGCCGGGCCCTGGACAGCCTTCTTCATACTGGCACTGATGTCCCTGGGCCTGAAACAGGTACCAGGTGTGCCTGGAAACCAAGCAGACCCAAACCAGTGCTGAGACAGGATCTGGTGCTGTGGACTGAGCCTGTACTTTTCTTCCCCAGTGGTCTCTGTTGCCTCTCCTGTAGTTAGAGGCACGTAGCTGCCTGGCCCCTCAAGTGCTCAAACATGCCCAGGCATAGAAGCAGGCATGTCTGGTAATACCTCTTGGGCAGGTGAATTTGCACATTTTAGAAGGCACTGACCTGTTTTCCTGGCCTATGGCAGCCCCTCAGGGTCTGCCCAGCCTCCTTCCCATGTTTATTATGTAGTTCCTGGCTGGCCCTTCCTTGCAGCAAAGGCCTTGGTGTGCCTGGTAGCGGTAGCACTGATATCTCCCTCTGGTAGTCTTGAGGCTACACGAGCCTTAACATGGATGACATCCACACAGCTTACCTCCTGCACCATGTGGCCCCTGACCACTGCCACTTAGTTTCCTTCCCAGTCCAAGCTCTGAAACCCCTTGTATCAGCCCTGCTATAGGACTTGAGAACAGAAACCTAGGTGGTGCTGGGTGCACACATGGCTGTGGACTCAGACAATGCCCTTGGCCCTGCCTTCTCCCTTTATGTAGTGTCTACAGACATCTGGCTGTTCCTTCCTCTGCAACCCTAGTGCCTCCAGGTGACCATGTAGGGAAGAGAGTTCTTCAATTGGGGTCACTTCTGTCTGCAGCAATGGCCCCATATCTACTCAGGAGCAGAGATGTTGCGTCTCTCACAGGAGGGAGGGAGGGAGGGAGGGAGGCTATGTCTGTGGGCCTCGTAGTTCTTTATGCTTCAGTTGGTGATCTGATTTCTAAGCGTGTGACATACATTCTGGCCCAAGAAATGTTCTCTTTGTTAAGCATTCATCTGGTAGACTCGGTGCCATACCAGACACATTGTCAGTGCCAGAAGCACTGTGAGGAACAAGACAGACAGCCCTGTCCTCACGGAGCTGACCTCTGGTAGGGGACAGCAAATAAAACAAGTGTTTAAGATGACGAAGTGTGTTATAAGGTGCAGGTGCTGTGGAGGGGGGACGGCAGGGGTAGTGATGGCTGTCACTTGTCGTCTGTCAGTTCCTGGCTGGGTACTTGTTTTGAGTAAGCACTGATACTTTGCTGTTGGCTTCATGCTCTACAGAGTGAGACGGTGGCCTGCCTTAGAGAGGCTCAGGCTGGTTGCCTCTTCCTTCCTCCCTAGCATCTCCCTCCCCTCTCCCCCTCTCCCCCTCTCCTTCCCCTTCTCCTTCCCCTTCCCCTCCCTCTCCCCCTTCCTCTCCCTCTTCCTTTCCTCCCTCCCTCCCTCTGTGTGTATATGTATGTGTCTGTCTGTTTTTTGAAACAGGATCTCACTTGTAGCCTAGGCTATCCTAGACCTCACTATGTAGACTAGGCTGGCCTTAAACTCCAAGAGATCCTCCTACTTCTGCCTCCTGAGTTCTGGAATAAAAGGTATTCTTTGAGAATACTTTTGAGTCTTGTGGTGTCTTCTGTGCTGTATGCTCAGTTTGGGGCTACGGGAGCTGTTCCAGGACCCAGTTATTCCTCACCTCAGCTTGAGATCTCCCGGACACAGCCTATCAGCCTGTAAAACACCCAAACTAAGGGTTTAGCTGTGGTTTTTAAAGTCTTTAAAAGGAAAACTCAGGAATATCTTAGGCCACATAAAAATTCCTGTGTTTGGGTGAGCATGGTTTCATTGGCACACTTGACGCTCTTCCCTGCCAGTTCCCACGCCTATAGTCTGTGGCTGCTTTCTCACCGAGCTGTGCAGTGGGCACTGGGACAGACGAGTAGCCCTGAAGAGCTGGCTGGCTCTACAGGCGGTGGCAGGCTGGGCTCTGATCCCCTACCCAGCTCCCAGTGCTTGGCCTGGGCAGGGAAGCCGAGACACTTGTCCAGCCCCAGGGCTGTCACAGCGGGTGTAGGTGATGGATTTCACATGCTTGGTTATCTCCCCAACTGGTGAAATTGCACGGAATAAAAGACTGTTGAAATTGCACAAGTAACAGTCTCAACCCTGAAAGCCAGGGAATCAGCTAGCGTTCTGGGAGCCTCTTCATCCCCAGGGCTTTACAAGGTTCTCAGGAAAGCTCTGACGAGTCTGCCAGGCCTGCTCCCCCTCCCTCCCTCTTCCTAGTTCTGGCTGGTGGCCTAGGAAGCCAAGTTTGCAAACCCTACTGCTCCCTGTGGGTAGCTCTGGCACTTCCCCCCCCCCAACCCCACCACATCCCATCTGGAGGGGACTGCAGGCTGGTGTTTGCTTGTGTGAAGGATCTTGTTGTTCTGCTGCTCCTCTTAACCCCTCGGTCCCACAGAAGCATATCTGGAGGGGTGGCTAAAGGCTGACAGACTGTGGCCTGGGTGAGGTACGCCAGGGAAAGATCATACTGCCCTTTGGTACTACAGAGGGGCAATGGCCTACAGCAGCTTAGCTCATGGGACCTGGAAGCTTATTGACTACCGGCTGCCTCACTAACTGAGTCTCCCAGCTTCTTCGCTCTATGCGTCTGGTGGTCTAAATGAGTGAGCTACTTCCCATCTCCTCAGCAGGCATCCTGGGAGGGGAGGCTGAGGCCAGAGGAGGCAGGGAGCCCCTGTATGTCGACATGAGGATCAGTGTCCCTTGCTGAACAGTAACTGGCTCCTGGGCTTTGAGGATTGGACCCCAGACCCATCAGCAGAGGCCTCATCATGGGCCAGTTCTCTGCTCCCAGATTCTAGAAGACACTTCTAGCCTCCATCCCACCCTCTGTGGCAGCCCTGTTACATGCCTGAGAGCAGGGGCATCTGGGAAGAGGATGGCCAAGATGACAACTGACTCCTAGCTTGACTTCCTGAGTCACCTCAGACCTCACAGAAGTCTGTCTTGGGCCCAGTGGAGGCAGCAGAGAGCCTCTCCCTTTGGTGGCCTTGGGGTCACCACCACATGGCACATTGTGGTCACCACCCACTGTCCACTCAGTACCATGCAAGAATACATACCCCTTCTTCGTGGGATGCCTGCTTCGTGCTAGGCATATGACTATCTTGTTGGCTGCAGCCAAGGCTTTCCTGATGGCTCATGTGTATACCATTCTGTGCTCATTGGCTCTTTGGGTTCTGTCTGTGAAGTATCTGATCATTCAGTTTGCCTGTTTTTCAGTGGCTGACATTTTCTTGCTTATTTTTGAGTTCCAAATAACTATGTGTGAACTGATCAGGTGAATGAGATATGGAGAACAATCCCACTCTGAGGTTCACCTCCTTCCCAGAGTATTTTCAGGTATAATGTATCCCCACTCCCCCATGCCGCCGCCACACACACAGTCCTTTTTTTCCTTTTTGATGAAACTCAGTTAAACTTAAAATTCTCAAACTCATAATTCTCCTGCCTCAGTTTCCTGAATGCTGTGCTGCATCAGCTTCCGTTTGTTTCTCTCATGCCAGCACATCGTCTGTCGTACCTGAGACACCGTCACCACAAGATGATCCTGTCCTCTCACACTGTCAGCCCCCACATGGTAGTCTACAGCTGTGACTCAAGTTCCAGGGGATCCAGCACCTCTTCTGACCTCTATGGGCCCCAGGCGCTCATCTTGTACACATCCGTACATGTAGGCAAAAGACTCATAAAATAAATACATGCAAAAAATGTAATCTAGCCTTTTATATCTTGATTGGCTTCCTGGAATTGAGATGTCGAGGTCACAGGCATCCTGTCCACCCTCTCCTGTGCTGTAGTCTTAGTCACTGCCTTTGGAGCATGTGGGGATAGATACCCCCTAGAATCAGCCACATTGCTCTCCTGTGCTTGTCCCTGGCTTGAGGAAGCAATGACAGGTGGGTGGCACTTCTGGGCACTGTTAGCTTCAGGCACTGGAGCGAGTCTGTGGGAACTCTCCTTGGCACAGTCATGGTTTCTCTGTAAAACCATTCTAGGGAGCAAGGTACTCTTGTGTGTTCATTTCTGGGCCTCCCTTCCATAGACCTCTTGCCAAGAGGGATAGATGGCAGACCTCACAGGGCTGGAGGACAGGCACTGTGAGACTGGTCTCTCAGTGTTTATGTCAGGATTCACTGGCTGTGGACAGCTTTATGGGATGCAGGTTACACGTGCTAGACAAGTACTGTACGGCTGAGCCACACCCTCAACTCTCACTGGCTGATTCTAAGCAAGAGTCCTATGACTAGGCCACATCCTGAGCCCTGCCCCCAGCCCCTCACTGGGGGATTGTAGGCAGGGGCTCTACCACTGAGCCACACCCCAGCCCCTCACTGTGGGATTGTAGGCAGGGGCTCTACCACTGAGCCACACCATCAACCCCTTACTGGTGGGTTCTACCTAAGTATTGTACCACTGAGCCTCATCTCCAGTCCTGTTTTTTTTTTTTTTTTTTGAGACAGGATCTTACCAAGTAGCCCAGGCTACCCCTGTACTCACTCTATGGCTCTAACTAGCCTTTTATTTACAATCTTCTTATCTTGTGTACGGTGTAGGAACAAGCCTATGCCTCTTGTTCCTTCCAGAACATAACACTGAATTTGGTTTTTAGGTAAGTTGAGCTGTGTCCGGAGCACCTGTGATGGCCCAAGGGGAGTAAGACTGCTTTGCTTGTTTTCTCTGCCAGTTCAGTCAGTGGTCTCTGCACTCTTAGGAGATGAGAACCCAGATTGGTGACAGGCTCACCCGCACACGTTGTACAAGTGCTGTGATGATGTCACAGCAGCTGCGGCAGCTGGTGTTCCACCAAACGTTCATGTGCTGCCAGAGTCCTCCCTGCTTGTGCTCTGTGCTCCTGAGCGCCTCATCTGTAGCTGGTGACCCTGTGCTCTGTCTGCTCCTCTAGGGTGACTACAACCAGAGTCGAACCAAAGTGCTACACATGAGCCTGAACCCAGCCAGCATGGCCAGGCAGCGCCAGCGTGAGGACCGTGACCGCCTACAGGAGGAATGCGAGCGCTTACGGGGACTCGTGCACGCCCTGGAGAGAGGGGGCCCCATCCCTGCTGACCTGGAGGCTGCCTCCAGCCTGCCCTCATCCAAGGAGGTGGCAGGTAGGTCAACTCACCCAGCCCTCTGGTCTCTGGAGAGGTGTGCATGTGGGGCTGCACGGATGGCCTAGCCTGCTTGCCCTTATAGCCAGCTGAGACATATTGCTTCCCTGCAGGCTTTGCAAACAGGGTTAGTCATCCAAGTTTGCAAGCAGCTAAGATCGTCTCAGACCCCCCAAAACAAATTAATACCATTTATCAGTTTATATGTGGCCCATTAATCATGAGTAAATCCAATCCTCAGAGAAAACAGGGCCATCGTTCACTGGCCTAAGCACACATCACAGAGCCCAGGGCCCTTTGCAGCCAGGCCCAAGATTCCAGGGAAGAGCAAGACCAGCACAGTCAGTGCTTCTCGCCACCCTCTCCAGTCAGTAAGTCAGGGTAACAACCGTCAGAGCCTGTACCTGGCACCCTTGAGGCATTGTAGTGCCCACTGACGTCCTTCACTGAGCCTTGGTAAGCATGGCAGCCATGGGCTCCTGCCCCACCTGCTTTGCTCTACAGCTCTGAAGTGTACACTTGTGAGTATGAGGGAGAGGCTTGCACTAGGTCTGGGTGAGAAGGGAGCTGGGACAAAGGCATGCTGGTCGCAGGTCCTGCAGCAACCCTGCCTGTTCCGAGATCACTCTTGTTCCCTTACCCTTAAGGGCATTTCAAGCCACCTGGACTGGGATATGACTATGGAGCCTCTGTTGTCCTGAGGTTTATGTCTTGCATGTGGTTCTCAGCTACTTCTCATCCTACAATTGCACCTGTTTCCATTCTGTGTGTCTGTCTTCTGGTCCTAAGGAGGTACTTGGCATTTCTAGTCCTGAGCCAGGGAGGGTAGAACTGATATCAGGAAGCCCTTCCTCTGGGACGGATCTCAGGATGGAGAGGCAAAGACAGACTCGACTCTTCTCTTCATCCCTGCAGTCCTGTTCTGCCTCCCTTCTGCTTGTTGCATCTGCCCTGGTGTCACTCAGAACCTGGGAACCTGGAAAGACTGAAGGCATGCATCAGGGGCTTGGTGCCCCAAGAACCCAAAGTCTGAACAAGAATGGCTGGCGCGCCATTTCTTATGTCTTGTCAAGCTGAGGTGCTCTGAGAAGCAATTAATACCCTGGAGTTCTCTGCAGAGAACCTGGCATAGAATAGGTACTCCATATGACTTGTTGTCTGGGTTGTTACCCATAGTATTGTGACCTGGCTTTAGGGACGCCTGCTAGCATTTGTGCTCTGCTCTGACAGGCCTCCAGTTTGCCAGAGTCCTTTGTGAGTCTTGTGATTCCTGTGTTGCTGTAAGGGTCAGATCCGAGTGACAGATGGTATACCTGACCTATAGGTCAGAACTCTGTGTTTCTTGGCAACTTAGAAGAAGATCCTGTTGGCTTACACTTTCTCTTTTCGTGAGTGGTTGGCGTGTGTGTGTGAAGTGTGGATCTTCACCCCCTGTCCTTCATCTCTGCCCTTCTCCAGTGTCAGGTTCTCACAATGAAGGAACTTATTGTTGACCCTCTCATATCCCATGTGCCTGTTTTTCGGCACACCACATGTGTAAAACAGCCCAGTCTGGAACCCAGTCCTCTCAGGACTCAGGCCACTTGCTCTCTCCAGTAGAGCAGAAATAAGCCCTAGAAACTCTGCGTTTGCAGGCTCTCATTCCACCAACGTTGGCAGCCAGATAGAGGCGACCTCTACAGCAGACCAAAACCCAACCTCCCAGTGCTGCCTGGGCTCAGTTTGTGTGGCCCCTGCTGTCTCTGGCCCCTGCCAGCTAGCTGATTAATTGCAGTTTAATTAGGCATGCATTAAAATTAAAACAATCTCATCTTGTCAGAGTGACACATTGGAGGTGATCAAATTTATCACTGCTCGACTGGGCACAGCGGATCCCAGAGGTGTCTCTGGGGAAGAGAGAGAAAGAGAGTTGGCTTATGGGTGCCTTTTCCTTCAGCCTTTCTGCCTCAGGAATGGGAGTACTCTCCAAGGCCTAGTTTGGGGCTTGGGCCAGGGAGGGTGTGGGGCATAGATTAGCCCAGGCTCTTCCTATGTAGCTCAGGCTGACCTTGAACTCTCCGTTCTCTTGCTATACCAGTGGCTCTGGTTATGGAATCTAGGTCAGCTGGAGTGGCAAGGGAGGACAAAGGATGCCCAACCAGTCTGCCATCTTTGCTTTGATACAGGCCAGTCACAATCCCACTTCTGGGGAGAGGTGGACTGAGCACTACTTAAATGGGAAAGGAGCTGCTTTGTCTCAGGTGTCCCCACACAGCTGTCCCACTCTAGGGAAATGTCAACTACTTGTTCTGAGCCCCTGAACCACAGTGTATATAGAATAGTGCTGGCTGAGTGGGTACATCCCCGGTGTTGCAGCCTCCCTCCCTTTCCCATGTAAACAGCAAAATATCCTTGATGCACATGATCTATGTGGCAGGGGCAGGAACACAGGAGAACCATATTTAAAGAAAAAAACCTCAAAAGCTGACATTATTTTAAAAATAAATGTATTAGTTTTCAGCAAGCCACAAAATACTTGGTACACTGTAGAAACTATAAAATTCAGAGCTTGGTACCATAAATAAAATTTTATTGAAACATGGTCACCTTGTTGTTAGGAATACACAGCAGTCGAGTTAAGCTCCCAGAGACTAGGAGAGTTAGTTGCCTTCCTAGACTCCCCCAGTGAGGGGCTGGGGTGTGGCTCAGTGGTAGAGCCCCTGCCTAGAATTCCCCCAGTGAGGGGCTGGGGTGTGGCTCACTGGTAGAGCCCTGTCTAGAATTCCCCCAGTGAGGGGCTGGGGTGTGGCTCAGTGGTAGAGCCCCTGTCTAGAATCCCCCAGTGAGGGGCTGGGGTGTGGTTCAGTGGTAGAGCCCCTGCCTAGAATCCCCCAGTGAGGGGCTGGGGTGTGGCTCAGTGGTAGAGCCCCTGCCTGGAATCCCCCAGTGAGGGGCTGAGGTGTGACTCAGTGGTAGAGCCCCTGTCTAGAATCCCCCAGTGAGGGGCTGGGGTGTGGTTCAGTGGTAGAGCCCCTGCCAAGAATCCCCCAGTGAGGGGCTGGGGTGTGACTCAGTGGTAGAGCCCCTGCCTAGAATCCCCCAGTGAGGGGCTGGGGTGTGGCTCAGTGGTAGAGCCCCTGCCTAGAATCCCCCAGTGAGGGGCTGGGGTGTGGCTCAGTGGTAGAGCCCCTGCCTAGAATCCCCCAGTGAGGGGCTGGGGTGTAACTCAGTGGTAGAGCACCTGCCTGGAATCCCCCAGTTGAGGCATGACTCAGCAGCATAGTGTCTGTCTAGCAGTTTCTGAAGGCACTGGGTTCAAGTTCCAGTACTTGGAGGCTGGGTAACTTCTTAATTAAAAGTAATGAAATGGATAAGCCTTAAGTTTAACCTTTCTAAACAAAATCCTCTCTTAAAACAACAACCCTTAAAGTGTTGCTCCAACACAAACACTGTAAGGGATGAAGTCATCAGATGACAATTCTGACAAGAGAGCAAAAGCTCTCTCTCTTCCCCTTAGTTGAAGAAACAGCTTTGCAGAAGACGCACTCTCTCAGTTTCTAGGGCTAGTGCAGTAAAGTAGCAGTTCACACTGTACAGCTCGGCACAGCTGTATGCCGATCTCAGTCAAGACCTCCAGCACTTCCCTCCCAGTGTGAGCCATGCTCCAGCCTTGGCTCCAGGTATGTGTGCAGCCTTCTCTGTCCCTTCCTGTGGACAGAGCCATGTATGTCTCCAGCTGGTACTCGGCTTCCTGTACCTGGCAGAGCACCTCAGATCTAATCTGCACAGAATAGTCTCTTTTGGGTAATCTTCTCGGTGCTCTCCTCTATTGAGATGCCGCTGGCTAATCCCTGGGAGGGACAGAGACTATGAGCACAGTGCTGTAATTTATCCTGCACCTGGGGACAACATGGGGCTTGTCACCTTTTAGCCCCAAGGAGGAGGCTGGCACCACCTGGGATACCCAGCCAGACCCTGAGCAGAGAGCCCCACTGTTGAGTCAGGTAACTGGATGCAGAGTGGCTCACCTTCCAATTGCTCATCCTCCACTCTACTGTCTGGCTTCCAGCATGTTCCGTTAGAGTTGTGCTAGGGACCACTTGCATTTAGGGCGAGTGAACAGAAACAGCGCCAGTACACTTCCAATTCGGGGTGGTCATGGCTATATTTAATAATGCACCCCCGCACCTGTTCAGGTGGAGTGAGCCCAGGCGTGGACACAGGGAACAAGGTTAGCCTCCCAAGGACTTCAGGGAGACCTGGGCAAGGAACTCAAGACATCCATTGAGGGATATAGAGCCGAGCTGTCTGTAGCTTAAGTACTGGGACAACTATTAACTGCTCAGAATATCCTTAAGGAAAAAGCAAAGTCCATACTTGATATTAAACATGATTGCTGGATCAGCTGTGGAGGTTCACACATGTAATTCCAGCACTCAGAGCCCTAAGTTACTGGACACCTGGAGCTAGAGAGTGAAACCCTTATCAAATAAAAGGGGAGAAAAGGAAATAGAAAAAGAAAAGTCATAATTACTGAAAGAAGGTAAATGGAATAAAAAGAGCCAAACAGAAGCCCCTGAACCCAGGGTTTCTTGTGTAAGAAGTTAGTGCCCGTGAAAGGAGCAGTGAGCAGTTGGTCCATGGCGACCACGTGACAGATGCCACTAGGCAGCTCCTAGTGATCCAGACAGACAGTTAGACCCCAGCCCTGAGCCCCCACTGAAGAGAGTACAGAGGTTCTGCAGCGTCAACCAGAAGGAATCAGCCAGAACAGCCCAGAGGAAAACACAGCTGCTCATCAGCTCACTGAGGACTCTGACGCCTAGGCCAAGCCTGTTGGGACAGGCTGTCACCACTTGGGAGGTGGAAACAGGGAGAGCTCAAGTTGAAGGCCAGCCACTGTCTCCCTGAGCTGTACTCCTACACAAGATGGGAACTGGAAACAGAAGACTTGGGACGCTCACAGGCCAGCTAGCCTGGGTGCTTGTTGGTGAGCAGAGACCTTCCTCGGACAGGTTGAA